CAAGGTGACTGTTCGAACACAAGGTGATGTGTTCATTTATAACTAATAGTTCATCTTTTTAGGGAATCAGTAGGAAGAACCCTAAATGTGAAGGCACATCTTCTAGCCCCTCCTTCCCGCCTCCCTCCACCAAGGTGTTCCCCTCACCTATGAAAGGGTTTCTGAATAATTGGCTTTGGGAGTTGGCAGGAAGAAACGCCTTTTTATTCCCTTTTGAATAGAGCCATGGTTTTTGTTTATGGGGTTAGGGCCATATTTTACGCCCCATGCTCTCCCCACCTTGGGGCCTACCATGAAGGTGTAATTGCAGTACTAAGTCAGATCCATTACCTTTCCACATTGGGTGGAGGCACCAGGGACAAAGGGCCTAGGACTATGGCGAGCTGTAGCTAGCTCCTTGTAGTCATAGACAAAACCCGCCATCTCCTGCAAAGGCTGGGGGGAGGGGAGGATCTTGGAGTAGCAGGAGGCTTAGGGGAGGGGCTAGGACCAGGTGGAGGTTGGAAGACTGTCCCCTTCTCTTATGCCACATGGGTCTGACCCAAAGAAGCCTGTCAGCCCTCATTATAGCCCCAGGCACCTACTTCCAATGGAGGCTGGTCAAATTCACCTTGGGAAATTTAGCTTGGGATTCCTTTGTCCAAGATATGCCCCATGCCAGCTAGCTCAGTTCCCTTTTTAATTATTTCAGAGGATCCTTGATAAATTGGTTGTGTAGGTTGGACTCCCTCACCTTCAATAGGGCCAGGCCTGAGTGTAGGTGAGTAGTTGGGTTTGTTTTGTTTTTTTTTTAAACAGGATAAAGCCATTTATTTTCCTGCACTTGATACTGAAGCTGCCCTTCGGCCATGGTTTCCAAGGCGTAATGCATAGCTACTATCCATCCAGTTTGACCAGCTTAAATCAATGTTTTAATTTTTCCCAGATGGAATGAAATCTGAACTAGTATGTATGGGTCAGTAACTGAAAGAAATCTATTAGCATGCAGAATATATGCAGGAAAGACTGCAAGAAGATAAAAGACAACATGTTTCTTATGGTCTTTTGTTTGAAGAACACTAAGAGAAATTTGGAGTTTGTTCCCTCCTTTCTCAAGCCTGTTCCCATCTTAATAAAATACCATGTATAGAAAGAGCACCCAGAGTCTGACATTTTGAGACTTTTGTATATAGTGCCTTCAATTTTCTAATGATCCTCATTTTAGTCAGGTTGTCAGGTTCAGAGTCTATAGGAGAAATAATAGTCACAGAAGTGTGACACGCATGTATAGCTGTGTGACAAATTGTAAAATGGCAGATAATGCACTATTAAACGTCTCCAGGTATCAGAAATGATATCAGAGTGAGCAGCAGACTCTGAACAGTGCATCATACAGAACATTTACTACACACGGCTTTAGAAGATTCTTCTACATCCCTGCAAATTGTATTTGAACATATCTTTTGAAAAACATAATTCTTTATTCATTTGATTTTTGCTTTTGTTTTTTTATTGTCATCACTAGTGAATGTGAAATCCTTGAGCAGCACAGATAAAAGTGCTTGAAGATTGACAGGAAGGTTGGTGGGTAGAGCTCACCCAGCAGGACCTTGGAAAGGCCTTGAACTTGTGGGGAGCAGTGCTACTCTGCACACACACGGCCTCCATGAACTGGACTAGACTGGATAGCAGTAGTTGGGGTTTTTAAAAATTTTTCTTTTATATTGGTTTGCTTACAAAGTTTGTATAAATATGTGTTTCACATTCTTCATTTGCATTGTTTCATACAATCATTTCCATTCATTATGTTTCATAAAATTTAATTACCATCAGACTATAATATTTTTGTAATCAGAAATGCGTTTCATGGAAGACCTAGATTCGGGGAGCTCTGATGGCCTAGTGGCAAGGAACTGCAACTACAATCCCAGAGGCGCACGGTTCAAATCCAGTCAAATCTGATTTGACAGTACACTCACACAAAAATAATAAAAATTAAAAAAAAAAAAAAGACCTAGATTTCCAGTGCGTGACTCTTTACTCCTTTACAAACCTCCTTCCTTTATATGGATTCACTCGCTCACTCATTTATTGCTGTCTAGTAGGAACCAACTCATAGCTGACCCTCCTGAGGGTCTCTGAGGCTGTAGATCCACATGGGAGGAGATTGCCCATCTTTGCTCTACAGAGCTGGAGCGGGAGGTGGATTCGAACCACCTGAGAAGCGCCACCTTTGGGTTAGCAGTGAAACACCCTACTGATTACACCACCACAGTGCTCCCTTGTAAGTAGTAAAAGTGCTTTCTTGTGCTCTCTCATTCCCCTTCCCGTTTTTCTCCCACTTGTAGTTCTCACTCTCAGCAGGTTTTCAGAGCCTGTAGATCATGTGGAGACTGCTCATATTTCACCTTTGGCTGGTGGATCCAAGCCGTCTGCCTTTGGGTTCACAGCACAACTTGGTACTGACTCAGCTGCCTGAGCTTACTCCTCTTCTGCTAGAGCTTTCGCTGGCCTGTTTTCTAGATAGAACCAAGGCTATGGGACGTCTGCTTCTGAGGCTTGGTGGTCAGTACTTTTCAGAATACTTTCTTACATGTGCTTTTTGGACATTGATGTCTGTGTTCAGCTGATTGCTACCTCCCAGGACAGTTGTTTGGTTTTGGTTATTTTTGTCCAGAGGGACAAAAAGCTCAGTGCTTGGGCTTCAGA